CTGGGTCTGGTGGTAAAGAGGTGATGTACTGACGTATTTAAGACCAGACGCAGGACACAAGACAGACTGTGTTGAAAACCAGCCACTGACAAGCAGCTCCTTCTTCCCTCTCATCACCCCGATAAGCCGCCCTCTGCTGCCTGAACCACACACCTCATCACAGGCTGGATGGACTGAGCGAAGCCGACAGGTCTACTAACGCGCTGATGTTGTTATCAGTGTGAACACATCGGGGATGTAGTGGAGCTAATGACACCTCTTTCTCACAACAAGTGACCAGGGAAATCCTGAAATACTGCAAGGGCCTCAACCAGGTCCGTAACTTCTTCTCGCATGAGATGAACTCACATCACTGAGCTGTTATTATGAGTGTGTAAGAGGTGGAGAGGGAATCACCAGAGCAGTATAGTCACTGTATTATATTTATTATGTCCCTTTCTGTGTTTTAATGAATATTAATAGGAATGCCAGTCGACTGCGCTTAGTCGTTATAATTTTTTTCCAGACCGAGTCGCTCACGTCGCAAGTTGGAATGCAAAGTCAAAAATCTCACCCCTCATCACGCCAGTTTCTGTTTTTCTTGTTGCTATCAACACTTTGTTTCTGGCATGCTCTCCCCCTGTCCTCCATGTCTTTCTCTCTCCCCATCTGTCTCGCTGATTGCTCTCCCTCTACTTGCCTCCGAGGCCTGCCTCTCCTCTTTCGCTCCAGCCTTCTCTCACTTCTCTAATGAGAGCGTGTGTTACACAGGCATTCAGAAAAACCTCCTCTGCTAATTACATGACAAGCATCTCGTTCTGGAACACTAATGAAGAGGAATAGCGAGCGGTAGACGCCACTGGAGTGGTGGTGTGTGTGTGTGTGTCTGTGTGTGTTTGGTGGGGAGGGGGTCATGCTGGCCACTGGGTCGGCGGGTGTTGTGTGTGTGTGTGTGTGTTGGGGGGTTGGGGGGGGGGGGAGTATTCTGGCGCCAGTCCAGCAGCTTATCAACCGGGGCATGTTGGACTCAGCATCTCGTTCTCTCCCTCCCTCCTCATCCTGCTTTTTTCCTTTCATCTTGCTACACTCATCTTCTTTTCTCCTCATAAAAGATCAGAAAAGGGCGTTATTTGGCCCAGCAACATTAACTTTTACACGTATTAAAGATGGCATGATGTTCGAAAAGGACTCTGTTCTGTCAGTCTTTGAAGTTTGATGTAGAAATACATGCAAATACATGTTCTGTCACTGCTCACTGTCCTCTGTGCTGTGCTGGCTTTTTTTGTCTCAGCGTAAAAGTGTACAAGTTTCAATAGCACAATCAGTTGGCCGTGGGCTTTGCCATTAATGAAATAAAACATTGACTGACAAAAGCTGCGGTGCATGCACACACGTAGCCTACAGATAAACCCACACACAAGAGGGGATGGAACAGGAAAAAGGGAGACAAGAGAGCGACCTAGGCAGAAATCCAGCGACACAGCGTGTGGTTTGGAGGAACTTGTTCTGTCAAGAGGCACACATCGGAACAGAAGATCGCTGTCCCGTACCATCCCTCGTGAAACGCTTGAGAAACACAAACCATCTGGAGGCTATAGTGCACACTCTCGACCCATCAAATATTGAGGATGTTTGTCTGATTTACAGGTCCTATTTAGGACTGTTTGGACAACTTGGCTGAGGGATTGGTGCTTTAATTAAAGATAATATCAAAAGCTAATATTGCCCCCAAGACCTTTGCCTCACAGTCAACAGAGCAACAAAGTCACGGTTCTGCGGGTGAGGGTGAGAGTCTTAACCGCATACACATCTAAATGAATCTAGTCAGGCCTGACACAAAGGCCTCTCCATGTTCTTTATTTCACTGAGGTTACCGCCCCAATGTTCCCCCACTTTCTCTCTGCCAATGCCAATAGCAACGCAGGCTTTTTCAGGCCCAAGCCCACCGCGGTGATGGCATATTGACACTGTCATAAAATATTACATCCTCATTTTATTCATTAGAACTGTGCTTTAATCTAAAAATAACATGGGCAGGGAATAAAACAGAGTTTTCAGCAGCACACAGATTAGGCCTGTGCTTCTCTCGCTGAGCACCACGGCTCGGAAACACTGAGGCCCAAAATAGATGTTCTTCTCATAAAGGGCTCCTTCTTTGTAGTCGGCATACAGCAACAACATCTGCAGGGCAGTTTCTATGGGGGGAACAGATTCGGGCAGGGTATCAAAGAGAGAGGCGATCTCCTGTGAGAAGCGGTGGGCGGAGGACTTCCATATTCTCTCTTTCTTTCTTTCTTTTTTTTTACTCTCTCTTGCTCTTTCCCTCTGTCTCTTGCTTCCAAAAAATCTGTAGCAATCAGGATGATGCTAATAAAAGACCATTAATATCACCTGTCAGCGCTATCTTTGGAAGATCCAAAACGAGAAAATGAGACAAAAGGATTCACAGTCTGGAGCTGCTCACGGAGATGCAGGGAACGAGTGGAGGACAGACAGCAGTATGGTTTGGTGTGCTGATTAGGATGACATGACTCAATCAATGTCCCAAAGACAACACAAGGGCAACAGGACAGTCCGATTTATTATTACTGATGCATCATTTACAAAACCCTTGGTTTGTGGAATTTTTGTCTCAAAGTATATTTGCTCGGACAAAGTATAGCTTCAAATTGTTTATCTTTATTTAGTGTTTCCTTAGAGATGTCACTTCTGAACAGATGGCAAGGATAAGGAACTTGACCCCTGCATGACTCCAGATACTGTATATTTCAGGGTGGAGAATGAACCTGTCATTAAACCTTTCTGTCACCTCTCGGAGTCATACGGTCAAGATTTTAAACTCCTGGTGGTTTTAGGTGCAGGAATGTGGCATTGGACGCTGTCAACTATGGCTCAAACAAAGTCTGGAGAATAATTAGTTTGAGCATTATTTGAAAGATTTCAGATATCCAGGAAGAGATGGACCCATATCAGTTTAACACAGAGCTGATGTAGATACAAGAACACTGTAAGACTTCGCTAAAGCGAGTGATGGTGAGGGCCAAAAACCCCCGCACATCTTTTGACTAATGGCTTTTACTGGCGGCGATGGCAAGGCGCTCACTATCTGTTTAATGCAAAACATGAGCGCAAGCCGACGCGTAGACGGAGGCTCTGATCGGAAAAAGGTGGTGCCATAACGGGGGAGGTGAAAGGCAAGGGGGCAACGCGATGATAGTGGCTTCATGCGGAGCAGAAGTGTATCGAGGGCCTCGCCTTTGAACCGGCGAGCCGGCTAATTGAAACAGCATTGCCAGGGCACCGGCTGAAGATCTGGATCGCATTCATCCCCTGCTTTTATTCAATTTGGTCCCATCACAGGGGTGTGTCCCGTCGCTTTTTCTCTCCACATGGCAATAAGTCATACCATCGCCTTTTGCCCTCGACGTGTTGCCCATCTGTGTCCCCTGGGGGCCCCGTGTGCTGAGGCCCACATAACGCAGAGGGATTCAGACGAGGTCTTGAGAAAATGCAGGCTGCCTGCCACTGAGCCCCTTATGGTACTTCTTCACGCCTCTCACCTTGGACTTGACCCCCCTCGCCTCAGCTCTTCACTCTCACACACAAGCATACACACACACACACACACCCTTACCCCAAGACTTTTAAGATTTACTGTTGAGAGCAGTGGCTGTCAGGAGGATTGAACCGTGCACTTTCTAATTCAAACAAATGCTGCACTGGGGTCACGGAATTATCATGGAGTCACAAGGTGTTTCAGATGACTCGCAAGTGTTGAGTGTTAGGCTGATAGAGAGAGGGAGAGGGAGAGAGAGAGAGAGACATATAAAGAGAGAAGCCACCATCTACGCAGTTATAGTAGCAATGCAGTGGAAAGCTTGCGACCTTACAGCGTAGAAATAAATAAACAAATAAAGCGATAAATAGGCAAATAGATAAAGCTCCACACTTACCTGGTTATCACCAACCTCTATCAGAGCAGGTGGATGTAGATCTTGCGTTGTACATGGGGGGGGGACTTCTCATTTCGCAGAAGAGTGGTCAACGTTTCCGTCGTAGCTTTAATCGGTGTCCCACATACATTGGCTGTTGGTTGGGTTTAGAAGGTACAAGGTGGAGGATGATACGATAGTCAGCGATGTACAGTAAATACATATTCAAGAAGCAGATGCTTCTCATGTGCATTCTGGCGACACCTGAGACAAATTGATTTGAGGGCAACACTTCTTCAAATGGTTGGTTTAAGGCTTGCTTGATACCAGATTTCAGAGGTTCACCATGCAGGGACAATATGCCAGGAGATTTTTTTACCAGCATCTTGAAAATATTAGGGCTTGACTGAGAAAACAAAAGGTTGACACACATGTCCAAAAATGGCAAAGTGGTGTTTATAAATAATTTTTTTTTTTTTTCCAGTTGACAACATCACAGGAAGATCAGCCATTGTCATTAACATCACACCCACTCGCTTTGTGATGTTTTCCTCCCTCTTTCCTGTTATTTTTCCCAGTAAAAGACTTTAGGCTCTCTGTGAGAGGAAAACAAACAAACAAATAAACTCTTAATTCAAATGTATCCTAAATTAAAACAACCACTTTTTTTTTATTGAAACATAAACAAATAAGGAGAAAATGTGGATCTGGGTTATTTAATAAGAAATTATGAGTGTAGCATCAGTTGTTGCCTTCTTGCCTTCATTGTTTAAACTTCACTGCACAGCACTTAATAAACGTACTAGCTGATACTGGATACATATACTTCCCTCACAGGATTTTGGGATATTACAGTAAAGCTGATATTAGACTGGACAACTTTAGTCACACTAAACCCAGTATTGATCAGCTCAGGCTCTGGTGTCCACACCTGTTCGTTCTGTGGCTGCATGTGAACCAAAACTACACGTGCAAGTCCAAAGCTTACTCAAGAGACGAGAAGAGGATTTGGAGAGGATCACCGTATGATTGAGGGAGGGACTAGAAGTGTGCATAATATTCCTTCCTCTGTGGGACTGGCTGCGAGCAGGTATACAGCATCTCTGCAGTCCACCGCTCAGCTGTCAACACTCAGCTGCCCGCCGCCTCCACAGGAAACTTCTCACACCGAAGTCGGTAAGTGCAAAGTTTTATTGTTCCAAAATGAACTGTTAAATACAACTAATACTATGAGAGGCTGCGTTATATTATCGACGCTTGTCGCTCCTTTGATGCATCAGGGTGAAAGTCTTGGCTTTAAAGTTTCTGTTTCTCTCGTCAGGAATTCGCATAAAGCGTGCAGCGCGCTTTTTTTTTTTTTTTTTTTTTTTCATTGAGATGCGCCGTTTCATCTCTGCTTATTTTTTATTGTTGCGACCTTGCAGCAGCTTTCAAAACGCCACTTAAAGTAAAGTTGCATGCATTTATCTCTTTGTAAAATGAACTTTATTCCAATATTGTTGCTTTTCCCGTGGGCTTGAAACTGCCTTCAAAAAGATCACTCAAAATATACAATGTATAAGTAGGATCTATTTATATACCAACATGAATAATTGGGGTTATATGAATGCTTAGCTCTTTTATTTAGCATTGATTTCTTCCCCCCACCCTGACATTTAAGTAGCTAAAGGTAGTGCATGCATTTGAATTACAGAACTGATTTGCACATTATTCACTTTGTGTATGCATACTTTCTGTTTCTATTCTGGAACAAGAGCGTCTGAATCTTTTTGAGCTGATGAACATCTGCAAGCATTGAGCAGTGGCGCATCTTCCCTCAGTCTGTCAGCAGCTGCCACAAACTAGCTTTGCCAAATTGCTTAACATATGAATGTGAGGAGGATGGGACCTGCCACTGCCCATATACACCATTCCTCCTCTAATGTAATCCTTCAGCTCGGTTCCCAGTCTCTTTTGTTGATGCTGCTTCAAGTGAACCATGTTAAGTGATAAGCAAAGTGTGTAGGAGGGGAGGAAGGAGAGGAAGGGGAAGGAGAAGAGGAGGAGAAATAGCAGGAGGAAGAGGTGAGACAGATGAGAAGAAGAGGAGGAGGAGGAGGCAGTTTTTTGCATAAGGAGAAGGGAGTGATACGTTGAGAGAGATGAGATGGAAATGTTCGGCTGACAAGCCTCTGGATGGATGGGTTTTCTTCAGCTGAAATCCTTTTCTTCCCACATAAAAATCAGCGGCGTTTGTTTTAAAATAAATACACCAACACTCCTGTGAGCCCCTATAACCTAAATCAGATAAAGATCGGATGGGATGACATGTTTCAGCCAAACCACAGTTCTAAACTGTGGCGCTGATGTTGCAGGTTATTGAAACCAAGCTCAAATGTCTCACTCTCCCCGCTCTTTCTCTTTTTGACCCCCGTTCCTCTCCCTCCTCCTCTCTCTCTCTCTCTCACACACCTATATACACACACACACATACACAGAGTGTAAACAGCTTGTCATAGATAGGTCGCTTCACCCCGTCCCGTCTGTTTGCAGTGTTGATCCCTTCAGCAGGCCCTGCTTCTCCTGTCCGCAGCATCCGTGATGAGTTACTACATGGATCCAGTTTCTTCCTACCCGGCTCTTCACCCCTGTGACCGTCTGGTGGTAAGTCCTCCCTCGTAAATTTTCTCCATGTTAAGGCTGTCTCAGCTACCTGCCACACAGCCGGCCAGGAATGAGCGTTTGTGTGTGTGTGTTAGCTGTAGTGCAGGAATGTATGCAGGAGTATATGAGCAGTGTGTGTGTTAGCAACTCTGGATACCATCACCTCACAGGAACAGAGTCTATCTTAACCTTTTTCCTGTTGGGTTTAGTCCACCAGAGTTGCACTCATAGTGCCCGTATCTGTACATGCTGTTCCCTATGATTTTGTCAAATGTTAGGAAACAGAGCTGTTGAACAAGACAAATTTCTGCAAGGCTGTGAAATCACCCTTATGAACTACTCCGTGTTGCGCAACCACCGCGCGCCAAGATGCACTTCTCTTTAGCGAGTAATATTGTAAATATTGAGACCTGCAGGCCTCCAACCTTGCCACTAACCAATCAAATTAGAGTCAGACCATCCCCACTGAATAACTCTTTTCTCAGCTAAGCCACCCGCGCAGTGCTTTGCAGCAGTCTGTTTGCAGGAACACCGAGGCTCTTAATGCTTTCCAAATGAGAGAGCTGAATACAGAGTCAGAGACAGTGGTAGCCGGGAACATTGGGATTCCTGTCAGATGAGCGTTTGAAGGGTGAAGGCCAAGGAGCGGCAAAATAAATGCCTCCATTTGTATGCAGAACGCCGGCACATTAGGATAAGAGACTGAGGTTATATGCAAATGGCAACCCCACCCTGGCCTGATAGAAAACATAGAAGGATGCAGCTCCCTGCGTCCTAATTGGCTCAGGTGGTGGGGGTTGCCTTTGAAATTGAGACTACTGTATACCAGGGCAGACTTGGTCAAAAGGTGAACCTGGATGACCTAGCTCTATTCTCTTGAATTTACATGAATCATCAGCAAACAGCAGCAGGGCCTGATGTGTTTTATTTTCTATGTTTAGTGATTGACAGCGTCTTATATGCTTCACAAAGACCGTATGCTGAGAACAGAGGGGGGAAATCAGGGATTTCAAGCCGCCAAGTAGCAATTAAAACGAAAATGCCAGAAGCCACTTCACTGCAAAGGTGATCTTTGTTCAGAAGAAATTATGCAGCACAGTGTGAGGCCTCCCTACTCTGGCATCTGTGACATAAGCAAGTCATTTTCATCAGAGCATTCTTACCTGTAGCTTTGGTTTAGAATGGCATGCAGTCTGCCATAATTCGGACACACCAATGAAATGGCAGAGGGAAATGTAGTGCACTGTGTGTTAGGGATTTGTTTAAATTTGTGACTGCAAAAGAATCAGGAATAACAATAACGACAGCTCAGTTCCATAAAGATCCTAAGACGATACACACAACATGAGAGCCCTGGAACAGCATCGTTACTGACTACACCAGTGCTTTTGATTACACCTGTCTGCTACTTCTTAGACACTGCAGTTTCTTCTCATGAGGTGGCAGATAAACTAAACACTTGACATTGAATGAATGAATGTGTACAAGTACCGAATAATCATGTGGCATTGCATGAAAACAGTGAGTCACAGCTCAGAATAAAAAATGGTATCACATTTATTGGTTTTACCTATTTGATGTAGGTTTTATGTTCCCATATTGCAAAACTGGCTTCCAAATAATGCAGCTTCCTACAAATATATGTTAATTTCACAAATATTTTGCGTGTAAATCAACTCCTATTCTAATGGGTGTATGTGTGCAAAATTGATCATAGCAGTAGTAGTGTTGAAGACCATTGCTGGTGTCTACGTTTTGCTGTTTTCACTATAGAACTACAGGGGTCGAAAACGGCAACAAAGAAAAGAAAAATCAAGCTGATAAAAATAAAATAAGTGACGCTGTTTAGTCAAGATGGGGAAGATGAAGATTGAATTATGTCAATATCACTCAAATATATGTAATTTATGGACTGGAGATACATATGAAAATGGACAATACCAAAAAAATGTGTACAGTGCAGCATTTATACAATTACTAAGTTCAAATTAAAAAGGCATACAAAGTTGTCATTAGCCATCTCTTTCCAAATTATGTATCAACCCTTTACATTGGAAGTTATTCTACACTTGAACTGATCAAATAGTATCATGGTGTCGATGTTATCCTCACTGTTATCTATGCCAGTCTTTCTGTCTAATCCATGTGGCTCCCTCCATGCCTTACTCCCCCCCCTTGCTGACTGGATTGATAGGAGAAGGCAGCATCCCACGCAAACCTCTACAGAACCTCGTAAACTGGCCTCCCTGATCCTCTGGTCGTGTTTGCCATCCATAAAGCTGGCCGGCTACTGATAAATGCTGCAGTGCTTAAACAGGAGCTGCTTATCAGATCAGCAGTCACTCTGTCAGCCAGTGTGTCAGTTACAAATATGACATATAGCATATGACAGTCTGACAGTAAGACTAGCTGAAGCATTGCTTTTAGTGTCTTTTTGCATGTCACAAATATAAAATGATCAAGACTTGCTCTTAAATCTTAAAAACCTTTGTGAAATGAGCATATACTCTATAGCAGATAACAAATGTGGAGAATACATTGCAACGTAATTGTTAAAAAAATATTTAAAAAACAATTTTTGTAACCCGTATTTAACATGTTAAGTTAAAAGGAGCACAATTTCTCACACACTCTTGTGAGAAAAATGCCAATCCCCTGTTCACATCACTTTCAAACAGAAGCTTCCAACAATATCTATTGAGTTTCTCGTTTGTTGTCGAATGAAGGCTTTGATATGCTAAAAATGGCCGAGTGGCTATCTTCCTCCCTACTATCTCTTGTATACACAAAGAATTTCATATCTGTCCTGGCTCTCCTGTCAAGTGCCGACTTTAGACTTCCCTTTTGGTGCGACCTCTTACGTGAACATTGCTGTGATAAGCGGGATAAATCAACACGGCAAAAGATAAACTGAATGAGTCAAATTTAGCCGCGACGGTTATCTGTGCGGGAAAACAATGAAAAAAAAATTGTCATCAAAATCCAAGGTTGCGCGGTCGGCCAAAGCTGAAGTTTGATCAGTTGTTTTCAGCATAGCACGTTGAGGCAGATATAACCAAGCATCAACTGTTCAATAATATACAGTATTCCTGTATTCCATGCTGCCCAGTTAATTTAGGTTAAACCGTTCTGTGTGTTGTTTCTCTCCAGAGGCATGGTGGAGGTGTGGCATTGGGACCCCACACCCACCTACCAGGTGTGGTTCACCCTCAGCAGCAGTACTACCCATCGCAGCCCCTTTACTTCCAGGACAAACCCCTGCAGGAGGTGCCCAACGGACACGACCTGTGCCCTACAGGTAAGAAATGGACACATACAAGTCTGACCTCAAATGTGCTACCAGGCAAAATGCGTATTTCATCATAGTTAATACTTACATGTATCCTGTATTTAATAAGATTTATGTTATTCTGCAAAAATAAAAGAACCCCCACACTTTACCTTATTTTTTATTCATACTGTACATGCTTCAATATATAATGATAAGACAATAGTCAATAGTTCATTGTGAATAAACAGCTCAAAGAAAACAAAAGACTTTGTTTTAACTGGAATGCTGAATGGGCAATCATTCGCACTCAATCTGCGATGTTGACTCACACATTTAAACTTCCTCATTGAGTTGTTTTAGAACGCACCCACTGGCTCGACTTGGCCTGTTGCTCTGTGTCTGCTGCAGAAGGGATGTTGGTGATGCTGACCCTGAGGGCAATGCCTTTACCAGATACCCCCTCTCTCTCTCTTTTACTCTCCATCTCTCTCCCTCTTTTTTCTTCTGAGGACAACCAAATGCTGTGCATTTTTCTTCTTCCAATCCTCTCTTTCTATTTTTTTTCCTTTCATTTTTTTTCATATGAGTTTTATTTTAAACTGGAACATTCCTTCCAGTGCATTTCCCTGTGTTTGACTCTGGCCTCTTCTCCTCCTCAAAAGTGATTGATGCTGGCGGACTGGGACGCACGCCACGGGAGTAGGGTAGGGGTGCTGGGGGGCACAAGCTTTCTTCCGTCACCTCCCTGAGCTGGATGCAGGGGGCAAGACAGGGGTCTAAAGGGCGGCCATCTTTTTCCCAAGCTTCTGGTTTGGTCTCTGGAGAGGTGGAGGGGGCCTGAGTGTACATATGTGTGTGTGTGTGTGTGTGTGTGTGTGTGTGTGTGTGTGTGTGTGTGAGTATGAGAGGGAGTCAGGATTTGATGGGATTTGCTGATGTTTGTTGCCAGAGACACACTCCTTTGGAGCCCTCTCTTCATTGCTCCCAGCGCTAAACCGTTGACATAAACATTGCTGAGTGGAAAAAAATGACCGAGCCTTGACCTTTTTTTTTTTTTTTCTCATCCCTCTCCTAAGTCCTATGCAGACCACAGGTCTCAGAGCCTTTTAGCCACCTGGATATGTTGTTAGAGTCATTTAGCTCTCGTTGGTGGTGTCATATAGAGCTACTGAGGTTTTCGTGCTACCAGGAAATGGCGTTATGAATCTGTGCTCACCTTAAAAGCAGCCAAATAACCTCTGACACGGTCTCAAACTCTGCAGCCGTTGCTTTGACTCATTTCTGTCAAACTGAAAACATGGCTTCCCCTTTAATATTTTGAACTTGCAGTTTCAGAACACGCATTCAATTTGTATATAATTTGAGATGGGGGCACAAACTATTTCATCTTCCTCCTGCCGTGAAAATGATTTGGCAACTGGGAGATTTCTGCTTTGAAGTTATATGTGCGCACCATTCATTTTCTAACCACTGAGGTTGTGCCAGTCCAGTAATTATGATTATTTGCTCACTAACAAGTGTTTTATGTAACCAACTAGGACACATATTAGACATTCAACTGAGGATTTGCTGGGAATACCATGATATAATGAGTTTTATTAAGGTGAAGTAAAACAGTCATCAGCAACAATACATTCATGAAAACAAATAGTGTAAATACAAACTCATCTTGCTATATTCCTTAAACCTGCAATACCGGATTTTTTTTTGTCCACTTTGGGGCAGTAGACCGAGTTGTGGACACAACATTGACATATCATCACCTTTCACCACTCGAGACTGCAAACTTGATAGCAAACAGTTACTTATTCACTTTATTGTTACTTTATCATTCATCATCCATTCATGTGGAGTCGTGTTTCAGGCCACCTGGCGAATGCAAGTCCAGTAGTCACTCTCTTTTAGCTCTGTTTTTGGCCTCTACCAACCCCTGAGGGAAATATCTGGCTCTTTGACTGCTAAATTCTCCGCTATAGCGGAGAATTTAGCAGTCTGTATGTAATAGTAGTGTAGTCTGTATGTAGTATGTTCACCAGCTAGTTGCTAACTGCTGTTTGGTGCTGAACAGGTGGTGCACAATGGGTTTTACAGCTTTTTTGGTGAAAACAGCTGCCTGCTGCAGCCGAAAATAGATAAAACAATAACCTGGAAGTCACTGCAATGCCTGGTAAAAACCGAGGGGAGCTGCAGATACTGGTGATAATTCTCTGGAGATTCATCACAATGAGTGACCCTTTTCACATTGCCACATTTTTATTTGATGTATTTTTTCCATGAAAAATATTGATTATAGCCGCTTTAAGTTTAAACCAGACTGACATAAAAATCAAGATATGATAAAGATAATACTTTTTAGCTCCACATGTAAGTACTTAGTTGACAACATTCCTAACTTTCTAACAAATTTGATCCACTGTCTTGGATATCGGGGTTGATATATATTCTGTTTAACTTTTAAAGTGCACGTAAGTTATTCAATTTTACAACTCAAGTCACTTCTTCGAGAATGGATTGGGTGTTGTTAAAATGAAATGTGCTAGTGTGAGAAAGAAATAGTACAGAGCAGATGTTAGGCGGGGATGTTGGATGTGAAAGGACCATTGCATGTTTGGCCCAGCGCCTAATGTCACACACACTGCTTCCTGACAACAGCCATGCCATGGTGATGTTTACACTAACCCAGCTCTCCTCTTCACTATCCAACACTCAAACCACAGGGCCTGTTGTAAACTCCCATTGTGGAAATCACTATCTGTGTGTGTGTGTGTGGGAAAAAACGGAGTGTGTATTTCTGCCTAGTATCTCAGTGAAATCCAGGCACAGATATCACCCACATGCATACACACTCCACCAACATCCTGCAGTGATGCACACTCCACATATTCATTCATTAAATTCACACCCTGCACTCTGGTGTGTATTGTATTACAGCATCCTCCCATTCAGTAAAGCAGGCATACGCACATACACACACACAAAAGTAGACACACACGCACAATCGCAGATACTCATGAGTTCACTGTACATTTAAACATGCCCTCCCATTTAGAACACGCATACACAGCTGTGATCTGGCACTCAGGGACCATTGGCCTGTGTTTTATTTGATGTGATTTGACAGCTGGACAGTTGGAAGAGGAGGGGAACGGGGTGGGAAGCAAAGGAGAGTGGGCGGAATACAGTTTGAAGAGAGAAGACGGATAAAGAGAGGGATAAGTCGCAGGACTGAGACTGGGGTTGGTGGGAGGAGAGGAGACGAGGGGAGGAGGATCTGGGATGTGGAGCCTTCAGGGGAGGGAGAGAGAGGGGGGCTTCGCCTCTGATGAGGGGCACGTCCTCACGGGCGCAGGCCCATTTTTTATTTCAAAAAGTAAACAGGCAGCCTGTGGGGGTCCGGGGGGTTATGGGAAAGGAGGAAACAGTGATGCTAATCAGGCCGGCGCACACTTCCCCCTCAGACAATAAAACAAAACAAGAGTGGAAACACGGAAAAACAGCAGACAACTGTGGAGGAATGGGCTGCCATGGTCCTAGATTTGAACTGCATAGTGTGATGACAGTTCTGAGGCAAGAGGTGTTAGTCAATAAACAGAGGAAAAAGGTAATCGGTTACGACTACATTGCACATTGAAGTATTTTTAGCAATCTCAACTATTTGAGTTTCCACATTAGACTTCTAAGAAGCGGTTGCATTGTGCATTGAAATCGGCAATTACAGTAAAATCACTCTGGAATTTTTACCCCATAACTCAAAGCACTGTTTTCCTTAACTGTAAAAAAAAAAAAAGCATTTCAAAGAGTAATTTCTGGTAAGTATACTCTTTCATTTGATAAGTCATTAATTGGAGTGTTTTTCTAAATAAATGCCCTTGACCTTTAAAGGCCCTGGCAGACCGTCGCCCATTGACTGGCCGTCATCTGTGGCCCTGGTGTTTGCTGTATGTCCCTCACCGTTGGCACTAGTCTGCCGTTTTTTGTGGCTGTTCGGTCGATTGAGCGAAAGTGGTGTCAAAATGGTAGGCAAAGGTTTTACGGTTTCCCTTTTGAACGACGAATACAGACTACACGGACTACACAGACTTAAAATACAGACTTTCCTCTAATGCAGGCACTGGATGTACGTGCTCATTGGCCTTTGGCTGTACTATTTGTGGTGTGCTCAAGTGCAACGCAATGCCAGTATTTAGTGTGGTAAGTTCCTCTTGATAGCACCGTGACTCATTACAAACCACTTCAGTTGGAGAACATGCTGTTCTGAAACGCATACAATCACTGACGGCTGATGATGAAACAGATGCCAGCTCATCAGGAAAGGTGGCGCTTTAATGAATCCTAAGAGAGACCTCCCATTGTTCTAATGTTTATATCGTGAGCTTAGCAATATTATAACAATGTTAACTACAATGAGTGTACACCGGTAACGGTAAGAGGGAATACCTCTTACTGTTTCTCGTAATGTGCGGTAATTGTTGAATTGAGTATAGTACCTATATTAGTAGGTGAAGGTCAATTCTTCCCTATTATCACTCACTAGAAACAACATACAACAAGCAGCAGCTATATAACCAAAGCCAGATCATTATCTTTTCAGAGTGTACAGTGCTGGTGAGTGTTTCTACTGTGTACTTTTTAATGTACAACCTTCAGTTATTTAATGATAAGTGAATTAAAACCGCAGCCTGATGTATTTTCCCCTCAGCTACGGGGACTAGTGGAGCTTTATCTGAGAGCGTGGTGGTAACAGAGGGGAGGGAGGGCAAGACGAGAAGAGGGAGGTCTGGGAGGCAGAGAGACTCGGAGGGGGGTGGGGATAATTGAATTATCTGCACAATGGAGTGATGGGGGGCACGTGGTGCCGCTAATGGAGGAAGAGATGTCCTTTTTAGCAAAGCTAATTGTTCAGAAAAGAGCTGAGCCTTTGTTCAGGGAGGCCCTGCGACTTTGCACTTACATGCACACAATTTAGTCGAGCGCACACACATTGACACACACACACTCCCTGCCACACACACACACACACACACACA